AGCAGCAAGGATATAAAAGAGGAAATCTTAGGGAGGAAGATTGTGTTACGCCAGGATTACAAGTGGGGAGAGTTTGTTCGCATTGAAAATTATCAACTTCTCTTTTTGGTTCTCATTTAAAGAGCCTACTTTTAAAAATTTGAAATTCATATCCTATTTATATTACATACTTAAGCCTTTGAGTCCTGACCACCGCTTTTCTGGAGGTAGAGAAAAATGACTTAATGCCTAGCCACTAGTTGAATGGTGGGTAAACACTTGCGTCGTGTTTTGCTATTGGTTGTCTTATTTGGGTAGACTGGGACACAGAGGAAGTATTCTGGCGATAAAATGAAGACAGAAGGGTTAAAATTGTTCGAGAACGCAGGGATTAAAGGGTTAATTTGTACACCTTTTCTAAATGCAATTATAAAACTATATCAGTGCAATACCGATACGGATAAAAAATCCTATAAAACTACGACAATTTTACATGATTATTCCTAACCGAATTTTTCAAATTGACATATGTCTATCCTTCCAGAATTCTCTGATTAACCATTTTCTGCTCTTTAACGCTATATAACGACGGTAGAACTGAAACCGTCCTATCAGTGCTGTTTGCTGCCGACCTACATACTTAGAAAATATTTTATTTTTCTGTTAAATCTTCTTGATAATTCACGAATTAATGCTCTGATTTAAATTGCCAAACTTCGAGAATTCTTATCGCAGCGGGTGTACAAAAGTTTCAATAGCAATGAATCAGATTTGAAGATGAATTTTAAAAAAAATTACATGTAAATTAAGGTTTGAATCGTAATTAAAAATTAATGGTCTTGTGTTGAATTTTGTTGCATCTTTTCGTTTGTATTTTTATGTTTCTATTTCCTCAAAGCCATTTTAACTTCTTTTTCTTCTCCGACTTCAATGTTTTTTTTTCTGTCTGTCCCATCTCTCGCGCTTGTCTCTTTATTTCTCATCGCCTCATTATTAATCATTTCTTCGTTTATTTTTTTCTTATTCTATCTCTTCTTTCTCCATTTTGTTTTGTTTTCTTTTTATCTTACCATTCTTTTTATGTTGTCATTTTTCTTTCTAATCGTTTCTCTCTTCTGTTCCTCGTCTTGCTTACCAAACATTTCATTCACTTTTTCTCATTTTTTTTATTTCCTTTTACAATTAAATTTTCTTTCCCTTTCACTTCTTTCTTACGAGACCACTTCACATCTATTTCTTTTCTTTCTCTTCTTTCTTACACATTTTCCCGTGCATGTATCATTATTTCCCTCTCTTTCTTTCTTTCTTTTTCTTTCTTTCTTTCTTTCTTTCTTTCTTTCTTTCTTTCTTTCTTTCTTTCTTTCTTTCTTTCTTTCTGCTAGTTTATCATTTTTCTACCTCCTCTTCTTTTCTTTCTTGCCCTTTCTCTTTATTTTCATCTTCCCCGTCTCTCAGCAAGCTTCTTTATTTCATTTCTTTCTCATCAGTAAAAAGGGTAAATTTCTGATCCGCGAATAGGTCAATTTTTTAGGGCGTCTCAATATTTTTCATTTTCTCTCTATTGACTTCTTCTTCTATGTTCTCCTGAACTCCCCACTCTACCACTTTCTTCTACACCTCTCCCATATTCCTCCCATTTTCAATATGTCGTCTGCTTTATCCATTTTCTTACTCTAATCTTTTATTTCATGTCATCAGCCATGATACGGAAGCCAAAAGATTAAGCATGCTAATTTCCGTCTAAAATATTTTAAACAATCCTCGACTAATTACCTTAAAGGGATAAAGCTTTTTTTTTCTTTGGAAAATAATTTAATTAACTGCTTTTAAACTAATTATGTTTTATAATGTTCTTTTAGAATACATTTGCTTTGAATATGTTTGCACAACACACAAGCAAAATTGTCACAATGTTTTATCAACTTTCGAAACCATTCCAAAAACAGATACAAAACGAGGTTCATATTGCAAATAATTTATTTTTACATACGCTAAGCCATGCACGATTAACATTTTCTTTTTCGTTCTTCCTTCTTTCAAAAAAGACATTAACTTTCCATGATATTCAACCAATACGCAGTTATAAATTTCGAATATTTATGTATATTTATTGAACTTGGTTAAATATAGTACAAAGCTGTTTTTATTTAATTCCCTATTAGGATCAGATTGACTATAAATGACTTGCAAACGACAATACAATTCCAATTTGGACATGGATTAAGAGAAAATAAACTCGTATTAATGGCAGGAAAAAAATTGTCACGCACAATGGGGAAATATGTCTGATCTCTAATTTACTAGTAGACCAGTGTTTAATATTAACTAAGAAATAGCGAATTCATGTCACTTGCCTTTCATTTCTCTTTTTTTTAACATCTTTCTAATTTTTATATCTGAATGTGCGTCTGTATTTGTATATCTAGGTGCGTGTGTATACAAACACATTACATAAAAAAGTTGCATAAAATTGATATATTTAAGATATGAATATACCCACACACACACACATCTATATATATATATATATATATATATATATATATATATATATATATATATAAATATGTACAAATTTAACAGAATTCATGCTAATAAAGTGCTCAATATCAGACTAGAGCGATAATTATTATTAAATTATATATAAGAATATTTAATCCTTATCAAAGACCGACTCAGACATTCGTAATTTTTTTCGTCGCCCAATGAGTGATTGAACGCTATTATATATATATATATATATATATATATATATATATATATCTATATATATATATATATATATATATATATATATATATATATATATATAAATTAGACAGGTAGACTTTAAACATACTGTTCAATATATATTTATATATATATATATATATATATATATATATATAGATAGATAGATAGATAGATAGATAGATATTTATATATGTTTTTAATAACGGTTAATGTTCTAATTGTCTAGGGGGCACTCTTATTGCCAAAATTCTGCTGACCTTGACAAATGTCAAATTACATCATTTTACATATATCAATAGGTGTTATTATATATTTTTAAAATATCTTTTCGTATGACTCCATTGTACAGATATACTAAGACATATGAGCATTTAGATCACATTTTGACTTTTATCAGCGTGAACATAGCAAGGTAAATCAAGCCTAAAAAATCCGAATTCAAAATTCTGGCTTCAGTGTAAGAACTTTTTCACCTAACAAGTAAATTCCATTGCTTCGACTTTTGTATCTACACTCTGTGACCTCATCCGATGACATTTTTTATTTTTCCCTATATTTTTTCCTATTATGTCTTGATTATATATTGTAAATAACATACGCTAATTCAAAACAATTTAAAATGTATTTATTTCAGTTTTTTTAAAGTCTGATATATGCATATTTTTTATATGTCACGCCTCTTCAGATCTTAGATGATCATGACTCCCCACTGCTTCCTTTTTTTTAATTTGTAGAAATTAACTGACTTGTTTTTAAAGGTAGTGGAATTAGTCTTATTAACTTCTTCATGGTTTTAAAATCCGAAATATTCTTTGGCATAATCGATTGCCAACTAAGAATCAATAACCCAATTTACTTTGTTATTTAATCGATAGATTTGTAGCTGGTAAAGTGAGAAATGAATTCATGCCTTTCTCGAAATTATTAGTGTGAATTGAACGCAGCAGACGAGACATGAATTTGAACTCCGATTCGAATTTCCTTAGCAATAACCATTATGCCATCTGCACATACCGACATGTGCAGTATTGGCATTAAAAATACATTAATAGGATTTTTCCTCAACTTTCATCATATTGTATTTTATAAATAAGTTACTCCAAAATAACGATAAAAAGTAGGAAAAGCCAAACTTGTAAGGAAAAAATATACGTTTCTTTCCTTCTTTCTTTTTATAATAATTCTTTTTCAATGATGTTGCGTATATATGTTTTGTAATAATATATATATATATATATATATATATATATATATATATATATATATATATATATATATATATATATATGTGTGTGTGTGTGTGTGTGTGTGTGTGTATATGTATATGTATATAAGTATGTGCGTGTAGGGCTTTTTAAAATGCAGTATTAGATTTAAGTCAATATAAATGGCAATTAAATATTGTATTGGATGACATTTCGGTATATATATATATATATATATATATATATATATATATATATATATATATACACCTTTAAATGTTTTTCTTTCTTTCTCGGTATGTGTACATATACATACATATATATATACATACATACATACATACATACATACATATATATATATATATATATATATATACAGGGTGTCCTAAGGAAATGCACTCACTCAATAAATGACAATAACTGTAGTGTTTATTGACTTGCATACAAGATTGATGGTTAAAATTAAGAAATATTAATATTTATTGACTTACAAAGAATATTAACTGTATAAATTAAATACTAAATGAAATTAAATGCATATAAATATTTAGGATGTCAGAAAATAAACACATTTTTAGGCACCATATATTTAATATATAATTTATACAGTTAATATTCTTTGTAAGTCAATAAATATTAATATTTTTAATTTTAACCATCAATCTTATGCATATATATATATATATATATATATATATATATATATATATATATATATATATATATATATATATATATATATTTCCAGAAACGTTATTTATGTTCTTTTGTTTTGTCCTTTTAAGCAAGGAAATTAATGTCTACCAGCAAAGATAACGAGTCTTTTAATAAAGAAAAATGTGCCTCACAACCAGAATCGAGCCTGTATTCCCTTTTTAATAAATGCATCTTTAAAATATGTACGTGTATATGTGTATGTGTGTTTTCTTGTCTATATGTGCGCTTGTTTATGATTTGCATGAATGTATATTGTTTACATATTTGAGGCGGAATCTACAATGCTGACAGCGTAATTTCATATATAATTCGCCGGCTTCCTTTCTAAAAACGGCCCCTGCTTCCATGTGTATCTTCCTCTGTCAAGACGAATCCATCTTCGTTTACATAATAATAACGGCTGCGTTCGCCTCTCTGTCTTTACACGCATGCGCGTCCGTTGTGAATAAGATTGATTGTGTAAGAACAACAGACAGACCGGCAAACAATTAAACAAACAAAAAATAATGTTTATATTAGCCTTGCTTATACAGGAAGGGTGTAGTTGTTTTCTGTAGCTTAAGTTCCGTTCTACCGACAGTGAAAGACAACGAGATTATCAATATTTTAACCCTCCGTTTCAAGCGTTGTGATTGGCCGGCAAGTTCCGGTGTTAGTGTTTCGACGTGTATGGTTTGCTACACCTCTTTTCGCGCGCGTGATGGCGTCAGCCCTATAACCGTACACGTGTACTTCTAAGTCTGCGCCTTTAACGCTTGCTCGTTCCGGTGTTGATTGAGAAGAATACGAAAGTTAATGATCTTTCAAATATCTCTTGAGTGAATTGCAGAAGTATAGAATCATTTACTAGCATAGTTTAACAGAAAGGTAAAGCAAAAATAGATTTAAACGACACAGCTGAGTGGGTTCCGGGAACTTTTCAAAAATGAATTTGCTTCATTGAAGAGCGACTATTTTAGACACAAATCAATCAAAGCAAAAAATAACTAAATAAAATAACTGAATGCACTCATAAAAATCAATTTAAATTTTGCCATTCGTATTTATTATACTCTTTTATTTGCCTCCATCAGTATGACTAATGCCAGCCTCCATGATAATAACATATTACGTCTTCTTAGTCGCACGTTTTTCACTAACACGAACGATTATATTGAATAAGTTGCTAGATTTGCTACTAGGGAAGTTGGTTCACTGTTCCGTGCCAAAACACATTTCTTCGCCAAAATTCATCTTGCATATTTATATATCTATCATTCGCCCATGCATGGAATATTGCTGCTACATCTGGTCTGGTGCTTCTTCTATATATCTCGAGATTCTTAACAAATTTCAAAGTTAATCGGTTCTTACCTAGCAACTCGTTTTCCTTTATTTTCTCACCGCCGTAACTTAGCTTCTCTCTGTCTTTTCTATAAGACAGCCATTCTTATGAGCTATCCTCTTGGTTAAGCTTAGTGGTAGATTGTCAGATAACTTTCGTCATTTTAATGTTAAAATTGCTTGATGCAACCGTAAGTTCTGTACTAATAGGTTCTTCACTTGTACTTCTAGATCGTGGAACTCTGTTCGGGATTCTTACTTTTTTTGTAAACTACCATTCTTCAAAAATCTAAATGCAACGTCAGTCACCATCTTCTCTCTTCTTGAATTTCGTTCTTTTATTGTCGTTTCTTCTTACTAACGCTCTCTCATTTTCTTTCACCCTCAGTAACCCCTTGCGTCTTAGTGGCGTTATCGTATTGCTTGGGGTGAAATGATTTTTTTTTAAATGACATTAGAATAAACAGATGCAATAATTGATAAATCATTGTAGGCGGTCTAAAGATATTTTCGGGTTAACAATCTTCCAGACGTGGGCTGATCAAATTTGAACTCGTTACAGTAAATTGTTGCTGGGGTTTATAATTTGTCAAAACATAAACAACAGTATTTGTTGTTTATAATTTTTGTTTCATATTTTTTTTCTGCAATTTTTATTTGATTATTATTATTATTTATTTTTATTTTTTTGTAACCTAGGGTCTAATATTTAAATATTGATATTAATTCCATGAATATAGGTTCATTTTTTTTTAAATTTAATTTAAGAGTAAGGTATAAACAGATCAATTAAAGCCCCTCCTATAGACGAACGCGGCACTTTTGCATACTTTTAATAATCTCTATAAGGCTTTCATTATCCGAGTTTTTATAGCTTTCTCCTTTCACGAAGCTGCGTTTCTCTGCTTTCTTCACCCCCATTCCCTAACCTCCCTCCTATTCTGTTTTCCTTCTTTTTTTTCCTTTCTCCCTTCTTTCACCTGGTGTCTCGCTATCTCTATCGACTTCTATATTTTTCTTTTATCATGTTTCCTTCTTTTTCTCTTTCTGTCACTTTTTTCTTTCTATTTCTTCACCATTTACCATTTATCTTGATGTTATCGTTCATTTCATTTGGAGTGGGGGTTTCTTAAAATGATTCCCGTGTTTTTAGCACAATTTCCTCTGTTATAACATTCTCTACGTCATTTTCTTGATTCCTCCATTTTTTTTTTTTTTTTTTTTGGTTGCTACTTTCAATTTGATACGAAATTTTACGCTTCCTTTCCTCTTTATCGACTTCTTTTTTTTTCTTCTTCTTCTTCTTCTTCTTCTTCTTCTTTACATTGATTTTCACTTTTCTTCCCATCCTTTGACTCGTGTTCTTCTCCTTATCCCTCTTTTTTTCTTACTTTCTTTTTAGCTTCGCCTTGCCTCATTTCTTTCTTTCTTTCTTTCTTTCTTTCTTTCTTTCTTTCTTTCTTTCTTTCTTTCTTTGCTTGTTTGCCTGCTTTCTTTTCATTCGTATTTTTTTATTTCATTAGCACCGACACATTTTTAAAACTATTTTCCCCCTTTTATTTTCCTTGCAAACGAAAGATGGGATTTCGCAGTTTCGCCTGGAAGGAATAAAAACAAAACAAAACATGTTAAACGTAATTAGTGATCTTTGATTAACAATAAAAAAAAATCAAACAAATTTTTAAACAATTTTTTTTTATTTCATTGGTAATATCTTCCATTTTAGTAGCTGTGGAGTGCGTGACATTTTAAAATATGCCAAGACAATACAAAAAAGATAAAACAAAATGAAAACAAAAAAAAAATCACATTCATAGCAAAAACAAGAAAAACTACAAATAATTTATGGTCAACATCTCCTTCTTCTTCTTCTTCTTCTTCTTCTTCTTATTATTATTATTATTATTATTATTATTGTTATTGTTGTTGTCATCATATAATAGGTGGCAATTTTTGCAGTTTTAATAATAATAATAATAATAATAATAGAAGAAGAAGAAGAAGAAGAAGAAGAAGAAGAAGAAGAAGAAGAAGAATCAGAATCAGCCATCGAGCATAGAAAAAATAAAATAATAAAATTCTCTGAGACTTGGAACCGTCCCATGGAATCTTGTAAAGAGATTGAAAGAACTCTAAATCCCTGAAAGAATCATGACTGCCGAACAAAACTGAAATCAATTAAAATATTGAAGGGCCTATATGAGGAGACCTGTGGTCACTCGGGGTCGAGCAGAAAACACTAGATTCTGTTGCTCTGAAAACCCTAATAATCGTAGTAATTATAACTAAATACTTGAACATTCCCAGAGACCTAAAAAATGAACATCCTATAAGACAATAGTATTAGTAACATTAAATATATATATATATATATATATATATATATATATATATATATATATATATATATATATATATATATATATATATATATATATATATTTTTAAGGAATGCTATATTTATACGTAAAAGTCGAGAAGAGCCATGATCGCGCATGTCCTAAAGAGACAAGCTATATAAAATAAGAAGAATGATTGGGGGTGGGGGGCTATGCGTGCTATTTCGAGATAGCAAATATTTTGCTTTTTTGGGTTTTTTTTTTGGGTTTTTTTATATATATAGTTCTCTCTGGTTTAGTTTGTTTTGTTTTCTATAGTTCGATCATGTTTATTATCTGTTCATTTTTTAAACGATAATGCCAACTGGATATTATGCAGTGCCATCAAGTGCACATGCCTAAAAATAGATGCTAGTTCTCTCACTTTTAAAAAAGCAAACAGAACGCTTGGGTCATGCCGAAAGTAGCAATTGTTTTCTTTCGTTTTCACGTGGAGTACGTTCATATGATGAAGATAATTTCTGTTACTTTCTCTCTGAATATTTGAGTTTGGTACTTTCCAAATTGGGCGGTGCTGTCCCCTTTGGTGGCAGTGGAATGACCCAGTTGGGTCGATGAGGAAAAAACAAACATGGACAGCCAAAGAGTGGCAGTGGTATATCGGAACTGCAACATCCACCACACACACATTGTATCTTAAATATATCTTGCCCTCACTTTGCAGTTTATCACATTTATATAACAATTGCTACGGAAAATACCAAGTTTCTCATTTGATATGTAATACTAGTGTACTGATAAATCATCAGTTACCTCCCCTTAAGATCTAGGAGATATAAAAAGCAACCTGTTATATCCGTCAGTAGACGAATAGTCAGAGTAAAGTGCAATAAAGCTTTGGTATAAGTTTATTCACTGGTTTTGTTCTTAGTACAACTAGCACCAAAAAAAATCAAATTAAATTTTGACTATATATTTAGAGCATGGGCGTTGGGGTTTTATCTATATATTTGGTTGAGTTAGGGTTATGCTTTGGCACATAAGGAAGCGACAAACCAAACATGTTTCGGACCCACTGATCTATAATATATATTAATCTATTCTAGCTAAATTCTCATCTTTTTCCACTGCTGAAGCTTCTTGACATTTTCAGAGGTCTGTTGTATTCAGTAACTTTCTAGGACTTCATACGAGGGACTATTTCCTATCAGTTAATTTTTCGAGGCCGTTTCCTCTTTATGGTAGCTTAATAGATAAAAACTTTCATTAACAACTACTATTTACATTGTAACCAAGAGTTCAATGCCTCGATTAGAGAGTGAAAACTAAATACTCTTATTTAGAGGAAAATAAAAGAATAAGAGCTCGTATCATAAGGACGAATTTCCCAAAACTTATGGGAGACACCCTCTTCAACGAACAGCAGGATGTGATACACACATGGGTTAAATAATATATTCAGTTCGAAATTCCCAGAAAGTTGCAAAATATGTGATTTACCTGCGGAAGGTGCCAACAAACAAAATGTTTGATTTTTTTTTTTTAATCATTTCAACCCAAGCAAGGCGGTTATGTCACTAGCACGCAAGGAGTTGCAGAAAGTGAAAGTGAAAGTGAAAGAGAAAGAGAAGACTGAGAATAGGGAGGACTGAGAAAAGGACTAATGATAAAGAGAATTCAAGAAGACACATTTTTGAAGGGAAGAAAAGAAACGGAAGGAAGTTCCACAGGTGAGAATTGCGAGAAAAGAAACCACTGAAATAGAAGTGGTGGTTTCCTTTAGCTATTTCAACAGTACAAAGGTGAGACCTAGTTGCCAATCTAGTAGCCTTTATGTATTCGGAGCACTAGGGGGAAAAGCTCGTCAGAGAAGTTGTCATGGAAATATTTCTAGAAAAGACAGAGGGAAGCCACGTCACGTCGGTGAGAAAATAAGTGAAATCGAGATGCCTTACCAAGACCAATTACAGCACAGATCCTTCTTTGCTTGTTTTTTCTTTTTTTTTTTCTTTTTTTTTTTCAAGAATCTCTAGATATGCAGCAAGAACACCAGACCAGATATGGCAAGAGTTGGCCATAACAACCAACATGTCGAAACGAATCCGAATAAATTAGTGTACAAATTACATTATCTACAGTCGTTTATGGCCAGTGTTTCAACCACTCTCTGGAATAGTTTATAATACATTATTTATCATCCCTCAGTCGCGTCTCTGTCTTTGGTCAGAGTGTACTCAGGGGCCACTCCGTCAAAGGACAGAGTCGCAACTGAGGAAAATTATACTGAGATGTGCCCAGCCCTGGGGAACAGCTGCCCGAGGCCGCGCCCTCTCATTGCACCAGAGAGAAAGATCAGTGCTCGTACTGAGGCCAGTGCAACCGACGGCTGCGGGGGCTGCGGGCAATTTTTGTTCCTTGCCCGGTTGTACGCACTCGGGTCCCCACCTTAAAAAAGACCTTGTGTGACAACTCGTCTTAATGGGGAGACAGAGTATATACCTAGTCGTTTATGGTCAGTGTGTCCATGTATGGCACAAAAAGAAAAATAGTTTTCATACGTCTCTCAAATTTTATATATATTATGTATGTGCAAATGTTCCCGTTGTCAGCCTTTTTTGAAAACTAGAAATGACAGCCCGAAAACACAAGATAGATAATGAAAGTTGCCCTATTGGCGACCCACGTGGCTTCTTTCTTTCTTTTTTCTTCCCAGGAGTGGCCAGGATTCCGGAGGATTTTTTTTGTTTTCGTTTTTTTCGTTAAACGATCTCTAGATAGATTTCGAACAACGTCGATCTATCAAGTTAAGATAGTAGCGTTTAGACAAGCATTCGCAAGAATATGTTACACAAAGTCGCAGTTATTGGGAAAATGCTCTTTGAGTGGAATTTTCTTCTGGTCTTATGATCACGGGGCGGGGGAGATCTCCTAGCAGTCGTTATGGAAGAGCTAGGAACGACTCCGGTGTTTCTGATGAAAAGTCGGATCTAGAAATTTAACTTCTTTTTTTTTTCTTCAGGAAGTAGGTGATTATGGCCCTTATTTCCTGTTCTTTGAAGCTCTTAAGTTTTTTGTTTTGTTTTTGCTATCTTTCCTCGTCCCTGTTCAGCCAAACATTTATACAATCTCGTTAGTCCTCTTACTAACTGCTTTAATCTGTTCCTCTTGCCTTCTATGTGTCAAATTTTCCAAACCCTCTTTCCTCATTATGTGCACTAGAAATACCAAATCTCTCTTCCTGATGTTAAGTATAAGTTTCCTTTTTGTTTCCATTTTCCCTAAAACCTGTGCTGTTGCTCTCCTGTTCAGCCTATGATGTTCTCGGCATCTTTTTTCGACGAGTTGAATCATCCACACTAATATTATAGAAAACAGTCAAAATATTGAAGAGAAAACTGGTGGATTGACTAAATTTACAGTCCCTTAAAGGCTACAATTTACTAATGGTATCAACATTCAATGAATAATGGTGGAAATAATATATCTTTGTTCCAGCAGAACAAGACTTTCATATAGATATTATGCGTGTCGCCAAACACGTTCAGAAATATCTAGACTGTCGACTGTATGCAACCACTTTTTTGGATCAGTGATTAAAGATGACTTTAAGCGAATGAAGCTCGTAGACCTTAGAGAGGACCAGACATCTTCGAACCTGGTGGACTGGCGCTACAGATTCACAAAGAACTGCACCAAATAATAGAAACCCCATTGCTTGAGGACTTTCGACAATAGCAAAGGATACCACATTTAAATCGAAGAGACAATAATAACATAATCAAGATGTTGACATTCCACACTACTTCAAGAAAAAAATTAGTAAGGAAACCTCCATCAATCCCTGAAAGAGTGAGAACAGTGGAGATGAGAAATCTATTTTCCTGAAGAAATTGTTTTAACCGAAAGATTTTATAAATTTCAACTGCTCGCTCAATAAATGTTGGATGTTTCCTAATAAAGAAACGGTTAATAAATTCGCCTACCGTTCAGTTCACACTCCTTCCCCGCCTTTTGAACAGGAGTAGGAGTTTATCCTTTGTTTCCTGTTTAGGGTTGTGTTTCTGGATTCTTCTAAAAGTCTTTTTTCATTCGGGACAGAAGAAAACAGCGTTTAACCTACCTAACGAGCTTGTGTAAATAGCTGACAGAACAAAATTGACTAAAATCTACAAAGAACAGGAAATTGGGGGACATGGCATTT